GTTTTTATTGTTTAAGCCACCCGACCTGTGGTATTTTGTTATGGCAGCCTGAGCAGACTAACACAGCCCTCCTTAATTGTAGGGACTTGTGTTTTCATTCTGTCTTCCAACTTGTGCGGCCCTGTCTAGTGTGGGAGGTTAGTATGTTCTCAACTCTGCCTCACTCTCATCTGTCAGTTAGGGTCCCTTATTTCTTCTTAATGAATTCATTATTAATACATCCAGCAAATATGAAGTGAGTCCCCTATCAAGCCCTGAAAAAGACCCAGCCCTGCCCTCTCAATGATTTAAAAAGTCTGGGCCTTGGGGCCCCTGGATGGCTCAGTCGGTTAAGCCTCCAACTGCTGGTTTCGTCTCAGGTCACGATCTTACGGTTTGTGGGTTCGAGCCCAACATTGGGCTCTGTGCTGACAGCACGGTGCCTGCTTGGGATTCTCTCCCTCTCTACTTCCCAGCTCATGTGCGCATTCTCTCTAAATAAACAAACTTTTAAAAATTTAAATAAATAAAAGGGCAGTGCCTTTGTCAGGTGCATAACAGCAAATAAAAGCCTCCCCACTCAGCTCTGTTAGTGTCTGAAAGAGCAGTGTTCAGGGTAGAAGCTGAGGAGCCATGACTTGTACGTGTGTGTGTCTCCCTGTGTCACCCAGGCTCAGCAAACCCTGTCCTGCCACTCCTGCCATTATCCTGACTCCACCGTCCACAGACACGCTCAGCACCTTGCTTGGCCTTTTGGTTCCTCAACCTCCTCGTGGATGACGATGGCCCTTTCACCCCGGTTCACCCATCCTCCCACTCCCACCGCCGCCCCCTAGACTGTTAGTGCTGGAACAGAGCATCTTCCGAAATCAATAACTGAAGCATCTCTCTCCAGTGCGTCCCCACTGTGACAACCCTTCAGTCTATTGGGTCCTTAACTAGTCTACCCACTCTTTGACCTTCTCGTCGGTCCCGCAACTTTCCCAGCTCTGATTCCACAGCCTATCATTGCGGCACCACCCTCACCAAGACCTGTGAATCCCTTGCTCCTCTGTCTTCATAGCAGCCACCTGGGGGAACCCAGCTCTCTTCCTGCATCTGCCCGAGCAGCTGACTCCTGGGGAGAAAAATCCAAGGCAAATTGGTACCTCTATACATTTGTAGAGGTTGCCAGCCTTTACCAGGTATGCCCTTAACACCGCTCACTGTGGGTTCACTTGAAAGGGTTTCAAACCGTCTTCACTCTGCTCAAACCCCAGGCCTCCCACCTCTGTCTCTGTCCCTCTCGCAACAAATTCTCTTTCCTCCTAGCTCCCTGAGAAAACCGCAGCCACCCAGAAGTACCCTCCCAATTTGTTATCTTCTGGCTGACCTAGGTAGGCACCTGTTTTTCTTCTTCCCTGCACCTATCATGTCTAAAGCCACTCCTCTTACATCTGTTTTGATCCCATTCCCGTTCATTAGCCTCCTCAACTAGATTCCTCCTATTGGATTTTTAAATATGCTGAACTCTTCTCCCATTAAAAACCATCACAGATTCCTTCCTGGACCCCTCAGCTCCTACAGCCGATGCTCTAGGGCTCCCTTCCTTTCCTCCAAACTTCTTGAAAGAGTTGTGCCCCCTGGTGACCCGCTCTCACCCGGCCCGCTGTGGTATGGTTTCCGCCCCCATCGCTTGACTGAAACATCTCTGGCTGAGGTGGTTGGTGTCTTCGTATTACCGTCTGTCTTCTCGGCTGCGTTAGACACTGTGCTCCCCGCTCCTCATCCAGCACTCCTTCCCTGGCTCTCAAGACACTCTCGTGGCTATCCTCTCTCTCCAGCTGTCTTTCTGAGCTGCTTTTGCAGGCTCATCCTCCTCTCCTTAGTCGATAAACTTCCAAGCTCTGTCCTAGGCTCTCCCCTCACCTCCCCCTGCACTCTGCTCTTCCCTAGGAGATCTCATTCCCACCTATACCCGCACATCTGGCAGATGTACATCTCCCACCTCTTTTTTCTGACTTCCAGAGGCATATGCCTAACTGACCCTTGATGTTTCAAATGCACCTCAAATTTGTGATCTTCCTCACTCCTCCACCCCCCTGAGCCTGGTCTTTGTTCAATATAGTCTCTATTTCAGTGTTGTCACTATCTACTCAGGCTCTGAGGCCAGCGACCCAGGTGTCATCTCCATCCCTTCCTGCCCCTCACCATACCCCAAATCTAACCCATTTGTGTGCTTATGATCTGCCTTCCAAAATCTCTCTATTCTGTGAATGTCTCTCCATGGCCCTGCCCCTAGTCCAGGCTTCCCTCATTCTTCTGGACTATAGCAATAGCTTCACATGCTATAGTCACTCCATCCTTGCAATCTCTTCTGCACACTAGAGCTAGAGTTACCTTTTCTTAAACGGAACCTTTCCTGACCACCTATCTTATGTAGGTTGCCTGTTAGACACTCAGGAGCTTTCACACATGGGCCTCAACACACTTACTACATCATTTTTCCTGATGAACATCATCTTCTCAAACTGTAGGCTGCCCTCGACCTGTTTTGATCATTGCTGTATCCCCAGAAACTATACTGAAGTTTACCAGGCTAAAGCCCCCAGCTTTGGAGGTTTATGAAAGCCACGTTCCCAGGGCGCCTGATTGGCTTGGTTGGTAGAACATGTGACTCCTGATCTCCGGGTTTTAAGTTCAAGCCCCACATTGGGTGTCGAGATTACTTTAAAAAAATAAAAATCTGAAGAAGAAGAAGAAGAAGAAGAAGAAGAAGAAGAAGAAGAAGAAGAA